CTTGGGAAGGAGCTCAGGGTTTTCCCAGGAGTTCCCTGTTTCTTGGGAAGGAGCTCAGGGTGTTCCCAGGAGTTCCCTGTTCCTTGGGAAGGAGCTCAGGGTTTTCCCAGGAGTTCCCTCTCCCTGGGAAGGAGCTCCAGGGTGTTCCCAGGAGTTCCCTGTTCCTTGGGAAGGAGCTCAGGGTTTTCCCAGGAGTTCCCTGTATCTTGGGAAGGAGCTCAGGGTGTTCCCAGGAGTTCCCTGTTCCTTGGGAAGGAGCTCAGGGTTTTCCCAGGAGTTCCCTGTATCTTGGGAAGGAGCTCAGGGTGTTCCCATTTTCCTGGAGAACCTCAATGATGTTCTCCATGGGATTCCACGCCCTTGGGTCCTGGGACCCCATTCATTGTCACCCACCCCTCCCAAGCTCATTATCTGCTCACTCTGGGAGCAGATGTTGGATCTCCCAGCACTTGGAGAAGTTCTCCAAGGGGATTCTGCCCTTTTCTGGGGGTGTGGTGACATCCCCTCCCCCCATTGAGAGCTGGGACCAGTTTTGGAGCATCAAACACCAGAAGAACATGGAGAGAGTCCAGAGGAGATCAGGGAGATGATCCCAGGGCTCTGGAGCCAGGCTGGGAGAGTTGGGGTGTGTGGAGAAGGTTCCTGGGAGACCTTGGAGAACCTTCCAGGGCCTGAAGGGGCTCCAGGAAAGCTGGGGAGGGGCTTGGGACAAGTGATGGGACCAGGGGGATGGATGAAAAGTGGAAGAGGGAGGTTGAGGGTGGAGATGAGGAGGGAATTCTGTGCTGTGAGGGTGGGGAGAGCCTGGGCCAGGTTGGCCAGGGAAGCTGTGGCTGCCCCATCCCTGGGGGTGTTGAAGGGCAGGTTGGATGGGGCTTGGAGCAGCCTGGGCTGGTGGGAGGTGTCCCTGCCCATGGCCTTTGAAGGTCCTTCCCATCCAAACTCTTCTGGGACTCCATGGATGGGACTTGGAGCCACCTGGTCTAGTTTGAGGTGTCCCTGCCCATGGCCTTTGAAGGTCCTTCCCATCCAAACTCTTCTGGGACTCCATGGATGGGGTTTGGAGCCACCTGTTCTGGTGGTAGGTGTCTCTGCTGATGATCCTGAAGGATCTAGATGATCTCAGAGGTTCTTCCAACCCCCACCCAGTCCATGACTTCCTGGTTGTCCCCACAGGATCTTCATCATCTGGGCCATCAGCAGCTGGTTCCGCCGGGGTCCAGCCCCCCAGGAGCAGAGCAGCCCGGGGGGGGCACCAAGAGCTCCCAGCAGGAACCTCTTCCCCAAGGACACTTTGATGGTAACACTGGTGGGGGGAGCTTGTTGTCCCTTCCAGGTGACCTGTGAGGGTGGTGGCTTCATCTTCTCCCCTGGAGGAGGGAGCTGAGTGTCTGCTCAGCAGGTTCTGTGGTGACATTCCAGGAACCTGGAGAGATGGGCAGAGAGAAACCTCCTGAGGTCCAAGCAGGGCAAGTGGAGGGTTGTTCTTCACCTGGGGAGGAAGAACCTCGTGGAGCTGGACAGGTTGAGGGACCTGCTGGGGAGAAGGACTTGGGGGTGATGGTTGAGGAGTGTGAGCCATCCAAGTCAAGCCTGTAGCATGAGCAGCAGGTCAGGGAGGTTCTCCTGCCCCTCTGGTGGGGGCACCTCTGGAGAAGTGGGTCCAGTTTGGAGGTTCCCAGGTCATGAAGGACCAGGAGCTGCTGGAGAGGGGACAGCAAAGGGTGGGGGGACCTGCTGGGGAGAAGGAGTTGGGGGTGATGGTTGAGGAGAACCTCAGTGTGAGCCATCCAAGTCAAGCCTGTAGCATGAGCAGCAGGTCAGGG